GTTACAGTTGTTGAGATCATCAATCATTAAATTGCGGTCTCACCTTCTCAAGTTCACCATGACACGTGTTGTATGATGTGTTATGCACCATTTGTATTTAGTCGATAATCAGTCGAGACAATGTTTTATAAGCTTATGTGACGATAAACTTAACATCTAATTTTGCTTCCAGTTCATCCTTGAAAGTTGAAATGAGGTATATGAAACGTATCAGTATTTTATCGAAATCAACTTCACATAGCAATTCGGAGAATTGACTTGTCAAAATTTGTTCATTAGTAGAAATCGAGACAGTCGCGCTAATGAGCGTGACAAGTTCTGCATCAATAAAACAACAAATTTGGTAAAATTTTTAGATTCAACGTTTCACGTAAACTGATGCGATCTCTTGGTGAAATAGCTGGTGTTTTAAATACCTTGACAGTTACTGCAAGGTGGTAATATCATTTTGATTTGAATGCAGGGTTTCTGGTAAATCGAAGCGTGGTAAATCGGGGTTTTACAGTAAAACCCCGATTTACCGCGGAGTTTGGGGAAAGGAAACATCGCGGTAAATAAATTGTTGTTGTTGTTGTTGGAGTTGTAACTTTAGTCTTCCACTGCTTCAACATTTTTTTTTCTTTTCTTTTTTTTCACTGCTTCAACTTGGTAGTGGCAAGGTCTTGCTTTTTTTTTTGCAATTATCTCTACAATAAAATCTAAGTTTATAAATAAGTCTTCCTTTACCAAATGTCTTTAAAAGTCCTTTGTCAAATAAAAACTGAATTAAGTATTATATCATGTAAGTATTGCAAAATTAACGCCCTTTATCTGCGATATAAATTTAAGGCTTTTAAGACTGATATTAATATTATCTATATATTATCTATATATATATTATCAGGTGTTCGTTGCTTGAATCCAGCTTATTGTAGAGGTCGGGTCGTTGAAAATTTCTTCAGGCCAACTTTTGTGTTTTATCTGAGTTTAAAAGCAGTTTCGTGTTTATCTAATGCGTCAGGCGTCTTATGAAAATATTCGGAAAGTTCAGTCAATTTTAATTTTATCGCTCGGTAACTACCTTTAAATAATATTTATTTTGGGCCTGAACTGGACGAAATTTCTAACTTAAATAAAATTTCTAACTTAAATAAAATCATCGATGCATGACTTTGACGTCTAAAATTGAAATTGATAAGTACGATGAAAATGCGGGCAAGAACAATTTGTTTTAAATCATGTTTTACTATCATCCATTCCATTGCCTGCCTCCTGATATCTGAATATTCTTGGAAACATTAAGTAATATGGGAGTGACACTGATACTATTCTTGTGGCCATTCCATTAATATTTTATTGATATTTTATTTGTCTATTTCTATTTCTGATAATATTGCGTTGGATACTTAAACCTGCTCATTTATTATTTAATACATTTTGAACTAGATTTGTGATATTCGACGCAGAAATTATCAAGACCATCGAGTAATTATTAATGGACTTATTGTAAAAATGAGAAAATCGCCCATTTTGGCAGTGAAACAAAACCACCAACCAGGTTTGAACATGTCCAGTTTACTCTTTTCATGTAGATACAGGAGAGGATATAATTATATATTATAATATAATATTTATTCGAGTTTATTGCTGCTACTTCAGCTGCAGATCTAATTTGATCCATTAGTAATGCCACCTTGCACAATATCTCCATGTACAAGTGTATAAGTGTATAAGTGTATAACTATAAGAGGCTGGTATCTCTTAAGCTCTTAAGATTATTTCTATTTTATAAACTCTATTTTATGTGACCTCGTACTTGATCGTGTGACCTGCTTATTTTAGCTAATGTATGGCTTATTAATTTATGATTCTTTATAGTTTTTTTTGGAATAACATCACGAATAACGTCACGTTACTTTCTTCTTAAAACTTCACATAGTTTGTTCAATTGATATTTAAATAATAATATATTTTAATCGAATAATTGTACGTAATAACATAAAATTCTAATTGAATAATCGTAGGTAATAACATAATAAATGAATGCTGAATGTTGTTAAAGTAACCCCGGTATTGCTTGTGCTTGTATTGCACTCTTGTTACGCCTGGAACTCAACCCTACCCGGCTATTACGGTGAGTCACAAACTGTTAATTAACACAAACTTATTAACTATAAATCACCGTTGTTACATAGTTATATAATATTAGATTCAAGTTCAATAATAGATCACTACATTATAGAAATTGAATGTTAACATCACGAGGATACACTGAGGCGCAAGGATTATTAATCCATTTAAAATCAACTCGATGCTTGTTTCACTTAGAAACACAACAAAAAACATGGACCAAACTTGTACGAAATATCTGTGGTCTGTGTTCATGTCTGAGTAATTAAAATAAAAGTTATTAATTAAAGATAATTAAAAGTAATTAACAAGCAAAGAAATTCTCTTTGAACTCCTGTGTCAACAATCAATGATCGATTGTCTAAATTACGAGATAAAATATTGTTTGACTGTTTAACTTTAACTTTGATGTACTTTTATCGTAAGTGATCATGTCATTTTTCAATATGCTTGAACTTTCAGTTTAATCTAGTTCCTAGCATCTTTATTAATAACATAATAAGTTTAAAAGTATCACAATTAATTGTAAGAATAGGATACCCAATATATGTGCTTTATCTTTGGATAAGTACTGAAAAGGTTGACCCGCATTGCCAACTTCTAAAAATAACTTTGAACCTTTTTATTTATTTATTCTAATAACCGATAACTTGTTACAAAAATGGCTACAAACCTCCGTGCGTGATCCACATCCCGTTGTAACATATTTATTATTAAGATAAAACGCGCGCCTGGATTCTTTAAAGCGACCGACAATGTTTTTCCTTAAAGTGGTAACATTTAAAAACACGAAAATGTCTCCAGATATCCCGGTAATATGTAAAGATATAATATACGGAGCGTACACATAGAATATATTAGCATTACACTACTGTGACTCTCGCATAATATTATGTGTGTATTTGACACAATGTTTGAGTGTAACAGGGTTTTAAAGACAACTAGTTGTGCGCAAGTTGTCTAGCTTGAAACACTGTCATCAGACATCAGTCTTTGGCAAACATGTGCGAGTGTGCCGAATTTCGGTAAAAAATGCAAATACATAATAATATGTTACATAATATAATATGTGCGTGTTATCGTATGCCATATTTTAATCTGAAAAGTGAACAGTCAGAGATAAATGTTTTAAAAGACATAAAGACAATTTTAATATGTTACATGTCTTCTAATCTAATGTCTTCCAAAAATCTCATCTTCTGAAATAACCTGACTCTTTGACGCCAACTACTTAGTTTAAGATTCTAGTCCTTTTCCAGGAAATATAACATTATCTCAAGCGATTGACATCGGCCGCAACATCATTTTTAAAGCACTGAACCTGTCGGTAATATCTATATTTGCTCCGTTTCTTACCAAGTTCACCACATTCCGACACTTAGAAATATTGATTCCTGACAATCGGGGAGCGTCAATGAACCAATAATCTCATCAAGTCGGATTACTCAGGAACTCACGGATTAGTCAGGAACTTATCCTATAACTATGTAAAGAATGTAGCATTAAAGATCAATCAACACCACTAATCCCATTACAATTATATTAATACCGGTAATACTTGATAATAATACCGCTGATCTAAACTTCCTTGTGTAAACACGACTCTCAAACAATACCCCTTGTATATCAAACTAATGGGTTTCCACCTGCGGTTACTTAATGATAATTACTCCTCTCCTCTCCTCTCCTCTCCTCTCCTCTCCTCTCCTCTCCTCTCCTCTCCTCTCCTCTCCTCCTCTCCTCTCCTCTCCTCTCCTCTCATCTCCTCTCCTCTCCTCTCATCTCCTCTCCTCTCCTCTCCTCTCCTGTGTTCTGCGGGAAGACAATGTAGATTGTAGCTATGTAGGGAAACGTATAAATGAGGCTTGGAATCTTCGTTTATTAGCCTTGTTAAATGCTGAAAGCAATAAAATGTAGTAATTTAGTTAAAAGTATTAATGTGTACCTCCTAATCTACCCACGGTGCCGCAGTGGGCCCGCATTGTTCGGTTTCCTACAAGTTTAAACAAAAATAAGAGTAATAATTGCTGTTAAACACCGTGGTAATTGTATTAATATAATGTTAACTTTACCGGAACTTTACTATTATACATAATATCCGCAGCTCTCCTGTAGAAATGTGCGTATTAATAATAATACCTTGTATTGATAATAATACCTCGTATTAATAATAATAATACCTCGTAATAATAATAATGATACCTCGTATTAATAATAATAATACCTCGTAATAATAATACCTCGTAATAATAAGAATACCTCAAAATGACATTCACCTTGTCGTGGTCCGAGTGATAAAATCTTGGACATTTTCCAAACTTCGTCTTGAAGTTTTGTGTTACGTGTGTGCTATATTAAGACAGGCTTCATTCCTCGGCTGTATCTACATAATACGGTGTCTACTGCTGTAATGCGAGATAAATTTATTTGTCAGCAGCATAGAAAGATGAGAACTGAGCATATACTATTTCATAGTCACGTACGTGAAAAAAATAACGAAAAATAACGAATTCAAAATTTATATTTCATTAATTGCAGTTTGTTACGATTTATTTCATTTGGCCTCACTTTTCTATTCAGTTTTGATATATTTTCTAGTAGGTATGTTTTCAGGAGTGGCCATTGGGCCATTGGGGTTTTTATTTTAAAACTGATTATGATGTAGATAATAAATTAGTCCATCAGAGACAATCCCCTCACGATGGGCTTTCAATTAAAATCAAATCAACGTGATCAATTTACTTCATATCACAGCTACTCTAAAACATGACAAGAACGTAACATGGCTGATCAGCAAACTAATTAGACTAATTATTATAAAGCGAGTAAGCAAACTAATTAAAATCATTGAACAATTAGCAAGCTAACAATCTAACTTGTTTCTGTTTCAGAAACGCCGCTCTGTCCGGAAGGTCAGAGGAAATGCTCCCCGACACACGGTGACGATGACGTGTGTAGACCTGAGTCAGACTTCTGTAACAACGTGGACGATTGTCCAGGTGGGACCGATGAAATAGGATGTGATTGTCAGAAGGAACCTGATATGGTGAGGAGTTAATTTAGTTAATTTGTAGCTAATTAGTAGCTAATTAGTTAATTGTTAGTCAACTGATTAGTTAATTTAGTTAATTAATAAATGTTGTAAAACCTTTGCTAAATAATGTCATCACATTTATTATTTAGCTAATTACATTAATTAATCATTAGTAAGTTGTAACTAATCATTCACTACTATTAAGTAGCGTACCACGATCGCCTACTCCGGCACAACCTTTCTAGACAAACCACCCTCATTACCTCTATAAGAGTTATAATACAGCTCAGTACAAGAAAACGCTCTTAAATTCTACAGTACAGCCGCTCTTCACCCCAAACATTTAACAAATAACCGGCAACCCGCAGAACCACATTAATTTTACAGTACTTAGCCGTAAAACTGTTAGCGGTTATGAAAAACTGCGGTTGTGATACGTTACATGCTCTATATCAAGCTGTATATCACAGTCAAGATGCCCCTCTCCGCTCGCCAGTGTGGCTGTGCAGCTAGCGACCGTTTCTCTCTTTCTCTCCAGATATGTTTTTATTGCCACAGAAAACTCAACGGCACCCCCACAAACATGCAGTGCAAATTTTGGGGTTTTAGTTGGATGCAAAAAAGCTGAGTGGTGGATGTTAAAAGTGTGATATTTACTGATTTCATTGGTTGTTATTGGGTGTAACTCAGTACAGTAGCGAGTTTTACACAAGGATCACAGAGATAGATGGGGCCTCGGTTCCGGTACACAAGTGAAATAGTATGCAATGTGGAGTCAGCCGGCTTCAAAGTACTTTTGTTTAGTCATATCGTCTCCACATGGTCCAAATTTACATCGGATAACTTTAAATATTTTGTTATTTCGTACTTGTTAACTCTTAAGTCACGAATATTTGGAGCTGATGTGACGCAATGGTATGAAATGTGGAATATGTGGGAATCTGTAGTGATATATCCCCCGCAGGCTTGGTTAATAATAAAATTAGATTATATCTCCTTGCTTTGCTGCATGTACTGCGACGTTAGGTGTAGTAATACACGGCTACTCTGCTGAGTTTTAAATATTCTGATTATTAGTTACAGGTACATGGACACTTATTATTACTGATGAGTGTGTAGATTCGTAGAATTGCAACCCACTAATTATCATGTTACTCACGTACTGCACTGTTGGGATGCGTTGACCGTTGATCCTTTATTTTAGAGACACGTACGTTAAATAAAGAAATAATATAAAATTAATGTTAATGATATTAGGAGGCAGTGAAACTAGCTGGCTGCAATAAATGGGGACTTGTAACCCCATGGCAACATTAAATGTAATGACCCTGTAATATACATCCTCAACGCATGTATTTATTTGTAGTTGTGAAAATAGTTTAAAACTATGTATCCCACCGGTGCGGTGGGATACGGTGGCCTGTTCGTTAATTTATTGGATTGTGTCCAAGACTTGGCTTGAATTACAGCGAATAAATGAACTCTAGAACCCGGAAATATGAAGTAAAATATCTGAAAATGTGGGTCCTCGATGTCTGTTGTAATTCAACCTGATTATCAGGATAATCATCGATCTCGTCACCTTTATTTTCAGTTAAGATGTTCATAAATGAAACTCAAGCCATAACTTTGCTATCGAAATGTATTCTCTTTTCTGTGAAAGAATTTTAATTTCAGAGTTCAGACGTTTTAAACATAAGTCCAATTTGATTTACTGCAGCCAGACATATCGAGTTCTTCGAATAACAACTTTGATTTGATTTTAAGCATTTGGCTGACTCACCATCTTAAATAGAAATAAACTTCCGGTAAACATGTGCCCTTAAACTAAGTGTAAGAAGTAAAGGTTATTCTGATGTTCGACTAGTAAATCATGAAGTGGGAAGTGGGAAGCTGCGTATAAACTCAACTTCAAAACCACATAAGTATATTATAATCGCTAACACTATAGTACTATTTTCCTTTGAAGTTAACTGAAAATGACAACCTCTCTTCGGTTCTAATGTAATTTATCGTTATAATCACACTCACCGTTACAGTGGCCAGCTTAAAAGACAACACATAAATATTTAACTTTATTATTTAACTTCATTAATTAACCTTTTTAATTTTCCCAGATACCCTGCCCTGGAAGCAGGGACTGTATTAGAAAGGATCAATGGTGTGACCGAACCCCTGATTGTGATAACTCAGCAGATGAACGGGAAGGATGTTGCCCACATGGTTAGTTGTATAACTTAAGTATTTTCAGTCATAATTTTCATTCCATACAATTTGAATAATCTATAGAGATTGTAACTATTTGCCTTCCTTTTGGACCACCTCTGACATGTCAATGTGTTCTGAGTTGTCGCTCTTGTACTGTCAATGTATACTCAACCAATGCACTCGAAAGATTTCTGAATCCGTCCGATCGCAGAGCATGATTAATAAAATTTCTATTTCTGGATAATGAATCTCGAATGTTACACCTGATATTCCCAAAGGGTCTACAGAAAGTGCTGTATAATTGTAGAGGTACCCGCGCAAACGACTGTGTATTACGCGCGCGCTGTAGATTTGTTTAAAAGTCGAAACTGCATGCTGATCAGAAGGGCTGGACGTGTTCGATCAAATAACTAAACACTAATGAACTTGTCCCTCAGGCTTCCACCGTCCCAACCAAAACCTGCTCGAGGAATGTGTCGATGAGAACGAGTGCGACCGGCAAGACGGGGTCTGTTCTCAACACTGTGCCAATACCGAGGTTAGCAGGAATTTGTAGTTCTCGAGGGATAGTCAAGTGCTTGGAATTTCGGTTGTGAACTTGGAGACAGAATGTCGCGTACAATTTCACCGCACTTGCTGTAGAGATGCGTGTTTTTAAGGAAGGCGTGAAAGTGAGAGATGAATTGCGGTTGTGATACACACAAATGCGGTTGCGCCGTCCTTCATTTCACATGAACAGTGGGAAGGAGTCGTTTACAGACTACTGAGTTGAGAGAGAAGCGACCGCATCTCCGCACAAACTCGCCTAACAGTTTACACAAATTGGACGTTACTGATTCTCAGGAATCGTGGAATCGTCTAAGAGTTTTAAATTATGATTATGAAGAATTACATCTTTATGAAAGAATCGCCTTACTCCAATATAATCAGGAAACGTCAAGACTCATGAACATATTTAACATACAATCATTGTACGAACTTCTTTAACGAAACTGCAATGTTGTTATCATAATACAGCCTAGAAATTATCATTAATTAGCCAATTAGCCTAGAAATTATCATTAATTAGCCAATTCAGGGTGGATTTACTTGCTCTTGCGACGAGGGGTACGATCTTGTGGATACGACCAAACAGAACGGTGTATTTTCATCCCTGTCTTACTGCAGGGCCAGAGGTTGACTTTCAGACTTTATATTTTTATGCCTGATAAATTCGCCGTGGGAACCCCACACAGACAAAACTACATTAGTTACCATAAGTTACAATTAGTTACCAGTATTTACCCTTAGTTACCATTACAAAACTACCACGCACATGATTTGATACATCATTATTTTTAAATTGAGATTAAGATTACGGTTTTGGTTAGCAGTGGGGGTTGAGGTTATGGTTAAGCCAACACATGCTACGGCGACGTAGATGTCTGGGGTTTTGTCTGTGTGGGTTTTAGTCTGTTCGAGGTTATCTTCGGTCATCATGAATCATCGATATAATAGTCACTATCGATTTAAATTGTTTTTATCTGCTTTATACATGAGGTATTTTCAAGAATGATTAGTTTTTGCTACTATAATACTGTCGATGAACTTTATTCACGGTTCTGTTTTTTTCAGGGGACATGAACATAGTCATCACAGTTAGAGCTGACAGTCTCTATCATCTGAATGTGCCTTCAGGGAGTGGTGGTAAGTGCATTTAACTTTGTGTCAATAAATTGACGATATTCGGATACTCTTAATTATAGATCTGACTATAAGATATTTGACACGAGAGGTTATAATTTCTAATAACGATTGTATCGCAGAAGCGTTTGACTCGGATACAGCAAGATCCTCCGGAAACTTCAAATCAGTGACGATGAGTGGAGAGTACGAGAAATCAAAACTCCTCATGGCAGATTTCGATTTCGACATCAGGTCGGAAAAGTAACCTCTACTGATCATAATGATAAGAAAGAAATCTAACTTAATGTTCACAAAGTTGCAATTTAAACTTTCATGATTCAGTATTTCAACTTCTGTCTTTCCTCCAGAAACAAGAAGTTATTCTGGTGCTCCACGAAACACTATGCAGATTCCACCTACGAGAGAGCTATTTGGGTAGCAGATCTAGGAGACAATCTAGAGACCCTGAAAAACTCCAAAATGATCGTCAACAACATCAACTGCGACAGGTAATTTAGTATACCGGACAACGGTCCAAATTCGGCAAATATTTATACATCCTTAATGGCCTCTTAGCCCTTGGTTAATCTAACCATTCGCCTCGTTTCAGCATGGCAGTGGATTGGATAAACAAACTAGTCTACTTCACCTCCGACACTAACTCAATAGAAGTGGTCGACTACGAGGGTCAGAACCGTCGGGCGCTCATCTGGACAGGACTCAGTGCTCCTCGAGCAATCGAACTGGACCCGGAAGCAGGGTTACTCTTCTACACAGACTGGGGCCAGACCACCGCCCACCTCGGTAGGAGTAACATGGACGGTGCTGACAGGAGAAGTCTGATTAACAACACCTCCACTAATGACCCGCAGATTAAGTGGCCTAACGCGCTCACTATTGATCACCCTAACAAGAACCTCTACTGGATGGACGCTGGTGTGAAGAGTATCGAGTGTATGAGGTATGATGGGAGTGCTCGGTACACTATCTCAAACAAGGACTCTGCTCTGGGTTTCCCCTGGAGAATGAGAGTGTTCCAGGATCGGGTGTACTGGCGGGAAAGAGACGGCGAGGTCAAATCAGCTAACAAGTTTACCGGTAACCAGTTCGTAACTGAACGAGTAGTGAGTGCTTTAGGGGAGAAGTTAGCAGTGGGAATGGGACTGAGAATATACCACCCCGTCATCCAGCCGGAATCCACTCCGAGATGTCGACCTGACCTCTGCCAGAAGCTGTGTCTACCCATTCCTAATGGGTATCAGTGCGCCTGTCCCACCGGACACAGTCTCCTTCCTGATAACTTCAACTGTGCCTACAAAATGGAAAACTTTGCGTTTGTTGCAACGAAGGAGATGATAGTGAAAACAGCCCTGGAACCTCTGGAACCAGTTCTACAACCTATTATGTTCAAGGAAAACAAATACATGGTTCGTTTAATGTTTATTTGTTTCCGTGAGTAGAGGTTTAATGGCACCCTGTATTTTGAAAATACTGATCAATTTTAAATTGATAGATTTTCAGAGACCAGAGAAAATGTTAATTGGCAGGAAACAAGTATATGGATGTATTTTTAGAACAACCATGCATATCATTCGTATTATGTATATTATCCACAGGTATGCATTGCATAACCGTGTGTACCCATAAATGTATATTGTATAACCATGTATACCCCAGCTATGTATATTGTATAACCATGTTTACCACAGGAAGGAACGTTTTGGTCAGTAGATTTTCATGAGAACTGGGTTTATTACAACACAATATCTGAAAACATCTCACAAATCAGCATCCGAAGAATGCTGTTTGACGGCAGTGACTCTAAGGTATTTCTTGAGACGAAACAGGCGGCGTATATCATCATGCCCATTTGAAATTTCAATTATTATGACTTAAATCTGTGGAAAATTTAAAAAATCCCTGATCCATTGACAATTCAGCTTATTGATGTTATTTATTTAATTGATTATATTTAATTAGGACACCCCAAATAGTTCGCACACCTCTAACACTTAACCAGATATTGTACAAGGTTGTAGTTAATGAAAAGTCGGACGGTGGTCTCTCCATCGATTGGTTAAACGAGAAGATCTACTGGTCAAGCTTCGAGACAGTCAGTGTAGGGGAGCTGGATGGCAGTGTGCACACGACCCTACTGCAGAAAGAGGGCTTTGACTTCAGGTTAGTTGCTAAACTCATAAATCACGCCCTACCGTGAGTTTTTTATATCATTTCCGGTAGGAAGCATCGTGGCTCTCAGCAATTATTCAAAGCCAAAACTGAACATGTTTAAAAAAGAGAAAAATTATTACAAAACTTGTGTGTCGCTGAAACTCAGAACGAACCCTGAATTCTCTTGCCTCGTCGTAACATGAACCTCCTTAACTACTGCCTTCTCAGGGATATCCTAGTGGACCCATGCAATGGTTACATCTACCTAGCAGCACTAGGACGTGGAATATACCGGTGCTCTATGGACGGTGATATCTCTAGCTTTGTAGAGATAGTCCGGCTGGGGGAGGATAGTATGCCTTCTGGTCTCACTCTCGACAGGGATATTGGAGCGTGAGTTACATTATCTTACAAACATTTTGTGTTTTAAATCTGTTTTTGTTGCTTCAATCTGTGTGGTGGCTCTGGTTGCAAGACACAAAACCAACTTCTCGCATTAGTATATTATATATATTTTAAATGTATCTCACATTCTCACACGCTGTACCTTCTCAGATTATTCTTCGCCAACATGAACTCTATCTACAAGCTGAAACTCAAACTGAAACTCCGAGACTCCCCTCCGGTCCCCGAACCTATAATCAACAGACCCGAGCGAGTTAACATCAACTCCCTGGACGTATGGGGTCGTGACTGGATCATCTGGACTGAGAACTACAACATCTCAGCAACTGATTATAAATATGAAAAGAGGGACAGACTTGTTGCCAGGGAGAAGATAGTCCATAAGAACGGAGACGAGGAACCCCCGGTACAGATAATACGAGAGGACATCAAGAAGGACACATTCGGTATCAAGGTCTCTCCCAAGAGGGACAGTGGGTGTAGCAATCACTTAGCTGCTAACCCGTGCTCTGAAAACCAGTGCTCACATATGTGTCTGCAAAGCCAGGTAATTAGCTAATTAGTAAATTCAGGTAATTAAATTGCTAATTAATAGATTAATTAGTAACTTGTTTTCCACCCATTGGTTTCAAATCAAATGATTGTGTAATTGAGTAATTTTGCAAGTGATTAACTGATTAATTCAGGTGGAGGGCCTTGAAATGCACCCTGATAACCAGAAGAAGTATCGTTGTGTTTGTCCGACCGGGTATGCGCTCAAAGAGAATTCCACTACCCAGTGTGCAGATGGTATGTTGTTAAACTTAGTTAAGAGGAAAATATCTTAGTTTTAAATTAAAGTTTAAATGTGTTCTTGAGACTTATCTTGGATTTTATATCCCTTGATTATAGTTTTAATGGTGCTCAAAAGTTCCTCAAAATGCTCTAGTTAGAAACGTAACAATTTTCCACACAGAAATAGCACAGTATCTGGTGTACAATCCTGACAGCGGAATTCAGACCGTTTCCCTGGATACCAACTTCTTAACCCCTATCAAAGGACCGCCCAACATGTCATTCAAAGTAACTATAATACCTCGTTATCTTGTTATTGGACGTGATGTTATTTCTAATACTGAGAATCTTAATATTGGACATGATGTTATTTCAAGAGCTGAGATTCTTTGTAATAAATAATGCTATGAAAGACTTAGTTACATCTACTGCAATGTGAAATATCTGCTGATAGTCTGTTAACACTACCCGTCAAGTAACAACATTCGTTCAAACCTACAATTTTACATAATATTTGGTGTTAAGTTGGAAACTTACAAGTTGTAAAACACTGTTAAACAACACCACCTATATAATAATAATTATAATAATGATAAATATCTATAATAATACTAATAATTAATTAATTAATTAATTATAATTAATTGATCAATTAGGTAGAATTACCTATAATTCTCCAGGTCACCACATTTGACATTGATGCTAAGAACAACCTGGTCTACTATTGTTACGGTTACCCGAACAAGTATGAAGTGCGGGGTCTGTTCGACGAGACGGGGAATGTTACCTCCCTCCCCATTTACACGTCACGATGTAGTGGAATGTCGGTGGAATGGGTTACCAATAAACTGTATATCGTGGACACTACTGGAGGTAAATGTAGCAAACAAATGTAGCAAAAAAATGTAGCAAAAAAATGTAGTAAACAAATGTAGCAAACAAATGTAGCAAACAAATGTAGCAAAAATCGGCCATTATTTATCAACTATTAATTAATTTCGGTATGAGCTGAAAGTGTTCACTCTATTGTAACCCTAATATAAGATGTGAATTTTGAACCTCCCTCAGGCTTGATCCTGGTAGTAAACCTAGACAAACCGTACCTGACCAAGTCTATAGTACACGCTCTGAACAACCCCCTGGATATTGTGGTTCACCCCAGAAAGGGGAAGATATACTGGATCCTAGAGTCTCACAGTATCATGAGTACTAACATGGACGGGACTGATCTGATAGAGGTAATTTTCTTAATTAGTTAATTATTTGCCCTTGAACTATTTAGTTAATTATCTTTTTTAGATAGTAAGTTTTTTTCATGAGTTTGACGATTTGCTATCAGCCAATATTACATTATTTATGATGGTTTTATCTTCAGACAATTGTTTCCGTAAACAAAGGCCCAGAAGACCAGACCCTCACTCTTGATGACTCCACCACCCAAATGTTCATAGACTTCACCACTGACCACCTTTACTGGACCGAAAACGTTCACAAAAGAGGAACAGGCTTTATCGGGCTGATAAAACGTGTGGACTTGAACACGAAACAAGTGGAAACTGTCCTTGAAATGTTACAAGAACCCCTTGCCGGTGCTACCATGATCAACAACAACATCTACTTCACGGATCTAGCCGAGGGTAGGTTGTACCGCAAGGACGGAGCCGCAAACGGGACCTTCCTCCTTACTACTTCCAGCGAGAGCTTCCTGTTGTCCTCCCAGTCCCAGCCTCAGTTACTGGAGAACCCGTGTGAGCGGATAATGGAGGCTGTTCTGATTTCTGTCTCCTAGATAGTGTTCTTAGATCCAGGTTCGTGGTTACTTTCTGGGCTTTTTGATTTTTTAAAGATTATTATTTACATCCCAAGTTTCTAGAAATTTCTCTTACTTTAAACTGGAGTAGTTTTCTATACTTTATAAACCATCCCTTCTCCAGGTGTTCATGCCCAACTGGTATACAACTGCAAGACTCCATGAACTGTGACACACCGCACAACAAGAGCCTGATCGTTGCTAATGACACCAGGATCAGCATGATATCTCTGAGCAGCAGCGAACCCGTTATAGATCGGGTCCTCACCAGCGCTCCCAAAAACCTGAAAAGTATTGATGTGGACATTAGAGAGAACAAGATCTATTGGTCTGAGATAAACTTAGAGGGGGGAGCAATCTGGGTGTTGGATATGAAAACGGGTGAAACTGAGAAGATTGTGTGGGAAGACATGCTGATCCCTAACAGTATCGCAGTGGATTGGAATGCTCAGAACATCTATTGGGTGGACTCAAGCCCTGAAGGAAAAGGAACCCTTGAGGTGATGTCGCTCAGATCCAGGAAGAGATCCGTCCTGAAGAAGTATGAAGAGGTTTCAAAGCGTCCTCATCAGATTGTACTGGATCCCAACGAGAAACTGCTCTTTGTATCCTACCCTGTTCCCGTCAAAGAAGTCATAACCCGGATGTGGATGGATGGTTCAAACCCGTTTGATATCATGACCATGGACATTCGTGGGCCGACACAGCGCGGTGCACAAGTCGTCAGTTCTCTGGCAATCGACCTGATTGACAAGAAATTGTACTGGAGTTCCAACGACAACATGAACCATATTTCCTCTTGTGACTATGCGGGAGAAAACAAGGACATCAACAATGATCATCACGCCAGGACGATCAAAACTATCAGTATTCTCAATAGGAACGTGTTTGTTCAAAACTTGGAATACTCTGCTGACACACAGGTTAGACAAGAATCGATTTATTTTCAGAAATCCCTTATTAGGGTTTACAGTATAAGTATCCATTCCCTTAGATTTTAATATGAGATACCTGATAACCTGAATAATTGTACAAATGTATAACAAATGTATAGCAAATGTATAGCAAATGTATTACAAATGTATAGCAAATGTATTACAAATGTATATACAAATGTATAAAAATGTACATTTTTGCAGGTCATGGAGTACCAAGAGTACGAAAACAACAACGGAGAAGAAACTCGGCACTCTAAAACCTACACCTTCCACCACCTAAAAGGAAACATCGTGTCAATGAGGGTATCCAGCGTGGCAGTGTTAGAAGACGCGACCCAACCCTGTCGAGTAAACATGTGTGTGGAACGCATCTGCATTCCTAATGATATTGAGCCCTTCTGTAGGTGTGGAGATGATGATCACAGCTGCAAGGAGGAGAACGAGCAGAAGGTCAGTTTTAGTTCGTATAATTAGTATATTAAGTAATTAGTATAATTACTAATTAGTATAATTACTAATTAGTATAATAACTAATTAGTATAATAACTAATTAGTATAATAACTAATTAGTATAATTACTAATTAGTATAATTACTAATTAGTATAATAGGTAATTAGTCACTAGATTGAGACACATATTGGCGTTTATAAGTGTAATTACCGTCCAATTAGCGTGTTATTATAACATAATTAAGGTACATCTATCTCAGGTGGAAGTTGTTATGAACCATCTCCCCGACACCCCGTCTCTGTGTAACGAATCCATCTGCAACGGTCACGGAACCTGTATCCAATACAAGCTGTCCAACAATACCAGTTATGGAATGAAATGCGAGTGTGATGAAGGCTTTGAGAGACCCAGGTTAGTGGAGTTGGTAATTAACTAATTAGGTAGTTAATTAATTGATTTATTAGTCAATTTCTTTATTAGTTGAATCGTTAATTTATAGTATTAATCTTCAAACATTTTCTGATCAAGGAATGTTTTTGTTTCCGAACTTTTCGCGTTCATCAATTGGTTAATCGTGTACTCTAGTTATGTACTTCTAATTAGTTCATCACGTACTCGGTTGGTTAGATAATTAGTAATTTCAGGTGCGCTAGAAAGAAAGGAGGGAACATTGCTATCTCCCCGGCGATAGCAGTGCCAGTTGTTATAGTTCTCATTGGCATAGTGGTTCTAGTTTTATGGTGGCACCCCAAGTTATGCAACTACCTTAACACGCATAAGGTAATGATTGTTTGGGGGCACCTAGGGGTGGTCCGGGGGTTTCAAACTACTGCTCGCCCGGACAGAGAGCTCCTTACTCAACAAAATAGCTCCTTACTCTGAAACCACTATCTGAGGATATATCTCTCAACTATTTGTTAGACAAATCTCAAATAGCTAGCTCAAAACCGGCGAACAAGTTTGAAACGCCTGAAACCCCCCCTGACGCCCCCAATTTATATACCCCTCGTTTTCTAGCCCCCTCCTCTCCCCCTGCAGGTGTAAGACCAAAAGTAAGGAGCCCCCCGTTATTGTGATTGGGATTGTGGCGGCTGTGCTGGCTATCGTGTCGTGCTTAGTGCTTTTATGTGCCTGTCGGAGGGTCCGGGACAAAACTTATCAAAGTGTAAGTTTTGTGATGTAACCCCTAGTTACCAGCTAGTTACCTCCTAGTAACTTAGTAACCCCTAGTTACCACCTAGTTACCATCTTGTAACCTTTAGTTACCACCTAGTTACCACTAAGTTACCACCTAGTAACCATCTAATAACCACCTAGTTACCATTTAGTTACCACTGCATTTAGTTACCACCTAGTAACCCCTAGTTACCACCTAGTAACCATCTAGTTACCATTTAGTTACCACAGCACTTAGTTACCATCTAGTTACCACCTAGTTACCATATAGTCTCCACATAGTTACCACCTAGTTACCACATAGTTACCACCTAGTTACCATCTAGTTACCACATAGTAACCACCTAGTTACCACCTAGTAACCCCCCTCCACTATTATACACTGGGTACCAAAAGTTGGCACCTCTTCAAATTCGATCTCAGAGGAGCCAGCTTTTTGTGGTTGGAGTATAAATGAGATGTGGTAACTAGGTAGTAACTAAGTGGTAACTAGGTGGAAACTAAGTGGTAACTAGGTGGAAACTAAGTGGTATCTAGGAAATGTGTGCACTGCATTGCCATTTGTTGATCGTAGTCGTCATTGGATTGTAGTCCTCCGTGCATAGCGCTTCGCCGTATAACTTGGTATACGTCTTTTAGCTTAGAAAACGTGACATTTATTTTTGACCACTTTGGTGAATTGGTGCATGTAATGGAATGTGATGCTAGGATAGCTAAAAAATTACCGGCATTTTAAATTGATGCCTTAATTAGTTCCCGGTCCCTTAGATTGGTTCCCAATATATACTTCCCTCATTACTGTGACATCATTTTAGTTTTTGCATGACAACACTGCATTTTAGTCCAATAAGTTTCCTTGTAAACAGGCTATTCCATAATGCGGTTGCTCAAGCATGCCTTCTTCTGTGTCTTCCTTTTCTGTAGCCCCTTTCAATTTTAAGCATTTTAGACTTTGAACCAAGTTTTGCATGTCACGAAAATGAAGATGTTAAAGTGTTTTTCAGTATTTTTCTACCTTTAATATCATTCTGATATCAGGGAAAATCCCTTGCTGTCTAAACTTCCTAAAAGGTTAATGCTTGTATACTCACATTATAAGGTTAATGCTTGTATACTCACATATTTTAACCACCTAGGACCGGTTACGAGACCACAGCTCTGAGGGAGACGACACCGATACTTTCCAACAAGACCAACAAGCCAAGAAGTTGGCCCAACTAGCTAATACCGGCATCGGACGATCTTACCTTCATACCACGAAAGACAATGCATGCGTGGAAGTTAGTGTATAATCTAGTTAGTATTGAATCTGTTCCGTGTGTTCGTCCCTCACACCTGTGTAATATTATTAGGGAGATGACTGTGCAGTTGTTTCACTTTCTCTTTCACTTTCTGTTTCACTTTCACTTTATGTTAAGACACCCAATTGTTATGCGCGCTACGATTAGATCGTGTGTATCTTTGCTGTGTAACAGTTGCATATCTTAGAGATAAGTGGAAAGAATAAATTTTAGGGTTTTGTTCTGTACTGTTGCGAAAGAATATGCTACCATTAAATAGCTAAATAGGTTCTATTCTGAATGTAATTATTTTTAAGCAATCTAATGTATGTAGAAATCTTTTTTGTTGTTGTTGTTTTAAATGATTCATCTTAACTATTTGAACATTTCCGGATTAATTGTGATCGATCACAGTATTACTATTAACATTTAACATTTCCTTTGATAAAACCTTTGAAGCCCCTTAATTAATATTTATTAATTAATCAATAATTAATTATTAACCCCTCAAAGATACAACAATTTCAGCAATTCGTTTGAAGAGCACAGTTCAACCAACTCAACATTCGAGTTATTATTATTAGCAGACATCAGAAAATAATCACTGATAAGAGAAACCCGCACCCTCGAGAAAAAAGGTGATATGATTCAACAACATCGGGTAATAAGAATCAGCGGGAGAGGTGACATTGTAATAGGGAGACAGAGGCAGAGACATAATTAATTAATTAATTTATTAGTTAATCGATTGCTTAATCGATTAATTAGTTAATTGATTGATTGGTTAACAGCACTCCGCACAATGACACACAGATAGTTCTAGGAATACTCTTTTATTTAATAAGATTTTTATTGTGTTTGATGAGCGGCGTGATCCTGCGTGCTACCACGTCATAATTTTAAATTTAAAAAGTATTTAATAAATAAAAATTGATTAATAGCAATGAAAAGGTATTTAATAAATTTAGAAAAGTAAAAAAATGTTCATCTGGACAATTGCAGTATAATGAAACTTATGAGAAATTTAGTAAGACATGTTCTTCATTGATCATGCCTCAATCATAAATATGCTGTGAAAAGCTTCTTAAAAATTATGAAAGATTTAGACTAGCCCTGGTGTAACTACTTACTATATACTCGGTGTTTCCAGCTCTTGTTAAAAATGCGCGCTCGCTGTGTAAGTACACTTATGCCTCACAGCAAGTGTGACGCGCACTGACTGCGCAACATGACAGTACTTGGCAACACCACGGGTAACTATGGTAACCACTATTAGTATTTATAATAACCATGGTAACTTACACTAACTAATACTAATTAGTGTTATTCAAACTCAGTTAATTTATTGTGTAGAGCAAAAATTTGAATTTTATAATTTCATTCCGCGGTAGCATGTGGTAAATGAGCGTTCACATGGAATGCAATCACTAAGTCGGAGGGAAGGGTCTAGGGGCTTCAAATAATTCAATTAAAACAAACAAACTTTGTGTATAAGTGCTCATAGAGGTGGGGGTATAAAATGGCTTTAAGTGCTTACGTTTCATGTGGACGGTCATAACGTCAAAATAGGATAAACAAAACCAAAAACTCTATTATTATAAAGGGGTTCGACATTTTTAAATTATCATTTAGTTGAAGGGTCTTTTAAGATTAATATTTAGAATTGTTGAAGCAGAAATTTGCGAATATTTGGCTGAATTGTTTTGAGAGCTTGGCAAGGGAATTTCTTAAAAGATGTTTGTCGATTTTATGGTTTTTCTTCGATTGATGTCTTTTTTGGACACCAATTAGTACCGATTAGTACTACCTAACTGTCACCTACATGTTTTTATCAAAACTAGTATCCAATAGTATTTTAGCATAGAAAGCTAGGTTTTTTTGCTCTATTTTTACAGAGACAACCCCAAGTTTTATACTTTTATTCGTTCAGCTGGTAAAACTTAATTTAAAATCTACTAGCGTAATTGGCTCCCAGATGATTTTCATTCAAATTATTAACTATTTCAACACAACATTATTCCAATATTCCTTGACGAGTTTGTATTTTATATATGAGCTTAGCGCAATGATATAACAGTAACAATATATGATATAAAACTGAAAGTAACGTTGTGACACCTGGTAACAGTTCATTTAAAACCTAGATATTTTTCTAGAAGAGACAGTTTTTATCATCCATAACCCAGTTTTGTTCATAAAAAGGGACAAATTAATTGAGCAGAGTTTGATTTTTTGAACTTGTGAGACAGGACGGTTTTTAGCAGTTAATTACACAATTAATTAATTAATTAACAAAACAGTTAATTATCTAATTAACACAGTTAATTAGTACACAATACACTACGGCTACTTTGTACACTTTTTATGGAAATCAAGCTTTATTTTGTGATGGATATACAGCCCCAGTTAATGGTGTATGATGAAATGGAGTTTTTGTTGGAATTTATGTTAAAGTTAAAGCCATATTAGGAAGCGCTTTTGGAGCTGTGTGAAATGTGGATTCATCATTTTGAAGATTTTAATAGGTAGTTACAATTGTATCAATGCGACTATGTAAAAACCCTACACTTAAAGGAATATTTAATCCCTTTTTGTAGATTTCCTTGAAATTAAATTATTTAAAACGTACAAGTCAGAGTCACTTACCATTTATCCGAGTGTGTTTACAAGGTCGCTCACAGTACATCAAATTGTTGTACAATAATTTATTTTAGGTCTCTTGAAAAAGTCGTTTCATTTTGTATACCAAAAGTTGTCTAAAAAATAAAAATGATAATAAAACAATTTCCTTGACACACGCTGCAACCCCTTTTGATCGTGAAGCCGGCGGCCGCACTCTCCCGGCGTGCACTTGTATCACGTTTAAACAGGTTACCTGGGGACCCCAGGCTATTATATTTATGTCTATAATCATATCCGAATAAAGATTCGGCAGAATTTTGGGCACTCAAATTGTTATTCCTTGGCCAATTTTTTATTGTTTCATGCATGATGCACATTTGAAAGACCTCGTTACAAACTTGTCAGCCCTTAAACTGGCTGCCGGAATGCGTGACTCAATCACGAGTGAATATAGAAAACCTGCACCTCCGCACATTTACTTGCACTGCAGCTGTTAAATATAAAGATAAGTGCAACTCAAGTCTAAATGAATGTAACCCTGCACTAATCACACATCACAGGGTGCTGGGTGAACGGGAAACGGAGAACAAGCTCTGGTACGGTGGTGACGTCATAGTTACGTGACCTCGATCAGGCTCATAGTCACGTGATCTCGGGCTCATAATCACGTGACCTCAGACCTTATCAACTGTGTCTGTAAGCCTCCCTGTTATACCTGATCTTGAGGTGATCACAGGGAGACTAAAATGCAAAGAAACTGCTGCTATAACTGCCGCTAACAGTTAGCAGCAGTAAGCAGCAGTTAGCACTAGCAGCAGTCAGCAGCAGTTAGCAGTAGTTTCCTTTGCACTTTAGTCTCCCTGTGTGATGTTGCTCTAACCAGAGCCCTCTCACTTTCACTTGTGAAACAAGCGCGTCACGCAGTACGCGTATACACAATACACATGGCTATGTGGATGTGTGATGTAAGACATTTCGTTAACCATTAACCCATGAATCAATTGAAAAAGTGTTGTAGCGCGATTTGACGGATGTTACTCGTCTAAATTTCTTCGGCACGAGCTACGAAGTAGCGCGCGCCGGGCCAAATCATTAACAATGGTCAATAGCGCGATGCGTTACATCTCTAGATCGGCGAGATGCGCTACTGTGCCGCGCCGAGCTGAGATGAATTGACATCGTCAATTAAAAAAGTGCAAATGCTAATTAATGCTCATTGGAAGTTAAGTGTGCGCGTGACCAGCATATTTTGCGTAATCGTTTATAACCAATTGGGCCTTCAAATAAAAACACATGCACGCTAACTACCAATTGGAAAGAAGTGAGATATACGCTACAAAAGCTTTGACCATTGTTAATGATTTGGCCCGGCGCGCGCTACTTCGTAGCTCGTGCCGTCGAGAAGAAAGCGGCGCGCGCTACTTCGAAGAAATTTAGACGAGTAACATCCGTCAACAAAAGCTCCGCGCGCTGAGTTAGATTACAAAATCTGATTATTGGATTGTAAAATCGCAAAAATGCGTGCGTTTGAGAGGGTTCAAATGCGCCAAACTTATTATGAACATAATAACCTGGGGTCCCAGTTGATTCACGATGTCAATCCTTCGCATTTCGCCGATGTGAGTGGTTGCGATAAGCATTATTGGATGCGCGCGCGGCCCAGTAGTGTATCGCGCTATAAGGTCCCAGGTACGTATAAATTAATTAATTTACTAGTCTCTCGCTCGGCGCGGGTCATGTCACATATTAATGTTTGTCCATTCGTTATTGTTATTGCATACTGACCTGGTGCGTACGCTCTTTCGAAGCTTCGTACTTAATTGATTAACATACTATATACGTTAAATGCCACTTTTGATCTCGCGCGAAGCCGATATTTATGATACGTAACATGTATGATCATGATTAATTGACGATGTTGGATGTCAATTCATCGCAGCTCGGCGAGGCCCTCAGGCCCTGTAGCGCATTTTGCCGATCTAGCGAGGAATTGATGAATTACAGCAAGATACGCGCCAAAAGACGCGCTGTTACGGAGTGATGTCAACGATTACTTTAAACACACAAATGTCATTATAATTTGGCGTGACCGGTGATAGTCTGAAAAGGAAAACACATATAGAAATTATTACATTACTAAACAAGGAGTATAAGTTTACAAAATTGACTTTGTGCAAACTTTCGAGACGGTAATCACATTCGACTGAAAGAACGTGTAATAGATTCATTCTGACGGCCCATGATATACTTTTCCTGATCAAAGCACAGGGGTGCCATAGTGCAAATAAACTGCTGCTAACTGCTGCTGACCGCTGCTAACTAGGCTGCTGAGTGCTGACTGCTGCTGAGTGCTGCTAACTACTGCAGTCAGCAGCAGTTAGCATCAGTTTTTTTGCACTATGACACCCCTATGCCCTAGCTGTGAAAGGTGCATCTTGTACACATGAGACATCATAATTGAGTGCATGCGCAGCGTGGCACAGTAACGCATTGCACTATAATTTTGTACGTACATCGGGTCAAAATTTTTCGAGAAGAATTAGACAGCGCGCGCGCTAATTTGAAGAAATTTAGACGAGTATCTTTTATTTACCATTTAAGATCAATCATTCGTCAAATAATATGCGAAAAATTAAACTTATAAAAAGCGCCGCGCATTGTTTTTTTGGCGAGCCAGGTACGTAACTGGTAACGCGTGAGGCTGTAGTATGCAGCAGTATTTTAAGAAAACATAATTTTATTATTTAGTACCAATTTAATAGAATGAGTTGAATATTTTAAAAACACTACATTATTTGAAATGTTTCAAAAAATTTCATCAAGTTTACAGTATGCGCAGTATATTTTAAAAAGCCGTGCTTCTGATTTAATGTACTGATTTAATTTAATTTATTAAGTTGATTGATATATTGTTTGAATGAGCTTTTCACTCAATAAATTAAGAGCCTTGCTTCATTTATTCACACAGCACCACATAAAAACTATTGGCGTGCACCACTGCAAGCTAAATTAAAGGGCTCTGGTTAAAGTCATTTTTCAGTCAGTAGATAGATGTGATTAGACCAATAATATTGTGGTGTTATTGCATCTTACGACAAAGATAAAAATGTGCCTATTCAGACAGTCCTCTAAGTATGATATTCTTGCATTAGATTTAAGGATATATTTTGAACCATACAAAAATATTGTATTTGATCAATAATTAATGTTGGTGGGGAAATATTTATTATATATTTGTTCACATAGTGCGATTGTATTTTGTAGACATGTGTGATGATGTTATGTCATAAATTTTACTTTACTTTTACTTTACTTTATACGGTGCCAGTCAGCTCACCTAATTTTCTAGTAAATTTCTGGGATGTTTAGAATATACACTGCTGAGTTTATAAGTCATATATATATAATAAGTCATATCTTAATAATAACTAGTGGTGTTCTTAAACTTTAATTTATTGTTATTACTCGAATGACCATTGCTGAAATTATCTGTATATAACATTGTTTTTTTCTTAATAGTAAAAGTTAAGATTTTAAGATGACGGGTAGAAGCCAACATACAACATCAAAGATTTGAGATTACATTTAGACACAGCTATTCGATTCTAAATTTTGAGGCACGAATGAATATCCAAGAGAAAATACTCATGGAGATTCTTGATTTTACTTAAACTTTTACTACATCGGTTGCTTTAAACAGGATTAAGACCGGATCTGCTTATTCTAAACATCCATTATTATGTCATATAAATAAATGTGTAAATTACCCTTCATAATATTATATGCAAAATGCCCCCTTCTCATAAGAAAATTTAAAACACTTTTAAACCAATAATACTCAACCCAAGTAAAATTCATCATTGAATGACTTTATCAATCAGCCAGATAAATTGTCCTAAATATACTTTTATATCATGATGTAAAACTGCCGATTGTCAATGATGGAATTCTAGTCCATTTGTAGTCATTAGCTTATTGCCCCAAATTACTAAAAGTGAATGGCCTCCAGCTAAAGTGTGTCAAATCAAATCAAATCAAATAATAATGAATAATAATAAAGTTGAAACACCACTGTAAATAAGTACATTCTCATCCCTCCTCCTTACGCTAAAATTTCAAAGCCAGGTTAAATATACTTAACCTAGGGGCTAGGTGGCCTAGTGGTTAGAGCATCGCCTTCTGCGCAGAAGTTCCAGGGTTCGAATCCCAGTGTCACCTAGTCTAAGGAGTAGCTAAGATTCCATTGGATCTATGCAATCTCCTCGGTCGACTCAGCTGAATGATTAAGGGTTAAATGAGGAGGGTTACCTGTTAAAAGTCCAAGAAACTTCCTAGGATACCCCTTCAGTACATACTGTAAACATAGTACTACTCTGCCCACAATAAGGGGCCATACTTGTTTCAATTATGTAACTGTATAGAATTATTATTATTATTTAGTACTATTACTATTAAACTATTAAACATTGAGAAAGTTCTGGTGAAAAGATTAACCTAAAGGAAATTTAACTTGAGAGAGGTTAATTGAACCTGTTTGGAAGTCCCAGAGAGCAATAAACTTGGTAATTTTGCTCAAAATTTTCGGCCTGCAGTCAACATTCCTTCCAGTGATCATCTATAGAGACAAAACCTTTCTTTTTTGAAAAAATTCAAGTGAAAATATTTATCTGAAGGAAATTTAACTTGAAAGAGTTTAATTTAACCGGTTTCAAAGTCCCAGAGAGCAGCAAAATTGATCATTTTGCTCCAAATTTTCAAAGCGGTTCTAAACTGCATAAAAATCCAGGAAAACAAAATTAAGGAGAACAATTGTCTGTGGCACCTCAAGGAGAGTATTTTAGAATGGTTTTAGGGCACCATATGTTACAAATATCCTCCCCAGGCGATTTCCCCCTCTGCCTTTGTGGTCACCAGGTGATCGCCATTTGGGTGGAAACCTTGAGCTTACCCCTTTGCCCCGGACACATGACAGGGGCCCTGATCATCTTGTCACAGCAAGCACATGGAGAAAGCCACAGAGAATTAATTATAATAGCGTAAAGTGATGTTGCAAAAACCTTTTAAATTATTATTGATTAATTATGTACGGATTGCATAATTCTAAACAAAATCCATTAATAGAGCAGAGAGCTATATGTAGTTGATGGTACGCCACCTCGTCGATTATGTAGCTATCGTTGAACTAATCGCGGATGATACTCATGACTTAGATCTCGACGACGATAACCATCCCAGGGGTAAATATAACAGTTTGTTAACTTTCTCCATCAGATTCACTAAATAGGTAGTCAATATTCTTAGAATTATGTTGTGAAATAATGATAATTTTTGTAACACTGGATATTATTTCAGAAGGTAGCGGTGTACAGGGGCGTGTGCTCCAAAGGTTCCCAAAAGAGGACTGGGAAGGCTTTGAATTTCCCGAGGATGGCATAGTCAAGGTAAGTTCACTTCTTACCAAGTTATAATACTACTGTAAATAATCAAATACAAACTACTTATTGTCAAGGTAGGGTCATCTCTTACCTGATTAAACTAGTAAATAATCAAATACAAAATACCTACAGGTTAGTTCACCTCAGATTACCTAATACTAGTAAATAATCAAATACAAACTACTTATTCCGTGTGTTGATTGGTATATTTAATGTACGCTTCTTATTTTATCTATGATTCATATAGCTATAGCCATTAATTAAACTATTCCCCCAGTTTTGCCAACCTGGTGGATGGAAAACCTACAACTACCCAAGACCTCCAGAATGTTTCAACTTTGTTTTCACCAATGTGGAGGGAGCTTACACCTACGTAACGTGTTTGTCTGTATTTGAGACGTGTAACGATGTACTGGAAAACCAGGACTGTATTGATACTGATGATGATTTGAAGCCCTCCTTCTTTTACAGGTTTAATAATAATTGAGGTACTGATGTAATGGTCCAGTTTTATATAAAACATTCCAGAAGGATACATGTTAAGTTTTTACAACAATCATGAAAATAAAATGCAATAATAATGCACTCTGTGTACATAAGCCCCAGGCCCATAAAAGACAAATATAATGACAGCAACATAACCTCAGAAGCGACAGCAAGAGAGCATCTCTAGCTACTAGCTCTGAGCTCCCGCAGACAGTGTACGGTCCAAAGTGTTTCACTATACTCTCATCATTTCCTTTCTATGATACTTTCAGGGTCAGTATAATGCAATATATTGTATAATATATTATTATGTTGATACCTAGAAGTCCTTACTTACCAGGTGATAAGTACTGTTTTAGCACCTGGTAAAGCGTTTCTAATGAAAAACAGTTCTTTGCCGGAGAAATTATGAGATTTTATTTCGCCACAGATCCAAACTTGAAGTCATACCCGGCCCTTGGCTTTGATAATCCATCAAACTCCTCTGAGATGTCTGTTAGAGGACCATGCAACTAGACACAAAATTAACATCTATATACAATTTAGTCAGCCTATAAATGCGCATAATTATCTTATTTTATTCACATAATAAAAGATCAATCTTTGTTGACAAGCTCTCTACAATAGTTATTTTACTTACGACAATTAGCGAAATTTCTTTCACTGTTATTAACTACATCTCACCTCCTATCATATCCAAATTAGGAAATTTCCTTCTCAGCCAAATTCCAGTCCATCAAGATAAATCAGGAATGTCCGAAGCTAAGTGGGCATTACCTCCGCAGTGCAACACTGTTACCCCCGTAACAGTGTAACCCCCGTAACAGTGTTACCCCCGTAACAGCGTTACCCCCGTAACAGTGTAAACCCCGTAACAGTGTAACCCCCGTAACAGTGTTACCCTCGTAACAGTGTAACCCCCGTAACAGTGTTACCCCCGTAACAGTGTTACCCCCGTAACAGTGTTACCCCCGTAACAGTGTTACCCCCGTAACAGTGTTACCCCCGTAACAGTGTTACCCCCGTAACAGTGTAACCCCCGTAACAGTGTTACCATCACAGGAATGCTTGTGCGAGCTGTACTCCCGGTTTATTGAGAACAGCAAGGTAATGAACGAAACGAAGGCTCTGACCGGTGTAGAGAACATCATAGCTACCCTACTGGCTACAGAGGTATGTAGCTTTATCTTATTGCTATCTGTTAGACATTTACATTTTACATGGTTGCAGGGAATTACGATTGTGTTTTTAAATTTGGGGTTTGCGACTGAGAATTCTGTATGGTTAAGTACTTATTTGTTAAACTATGCACAAGCAAGTACCTTACAAAGTTCTATACTATCTGGAGGTTTTATTATTAGGACTCACTGCAATCCAAGCGAAGCCTGATAATCTTAATATAACCGACGTAACGAGGAAAATTCCCGAAATAGCTAATGCAACAGGACCTTATCATTTTATTCCGATAATAAAACAGAATAATATGTACTTAACTTGACTGAAACTATTTCTGCTTGGTACGAAGAAATTTAGGGTACGTTAAGGAACATTGTCAGCCTGGTAAAGGTCGTGTCTTAGAGACCGCCAGTATCAGCCAATTGTTACAGAGCTGGAAAATAACAAAAATCAGATGATATTAAATTGCTGGAACGTTTCAACGCAGCACTAGGTTCAGTGAAATGTGAATAATACGAATAATATCTTAAGGCCAATTGCAATAAACAAATAAATAATACTAACACTGATTTCAAATGGTATGGTCCTTGGAAATTGCATATTATAACCACTAAAAGTACACTAAGTGACTTAATTGACCCTAATTGACGTAGTATCCAATAACACAGGTACCGGATCACCACAGTATAGAGCGTCCCCTGATAATAGACCTGGAAGGTAGGGCTATCAACGTGGAGCGACTCAACCCTAGCTCTCAACCCCCCTACACAGGGACCTCCGTCTACAACCTTGTTTCTACTATCGGTTAGTTTATTTAATTAGTTTAATTAATTAGTTTAATTAATTTCCTGTTCATTAACATTCTTTATTGATTTAGAGTTATTTCATCAACTGATTGGACTTAAGAATGGTCGTATGAGGTCAGTATATGCATGTAGGTGAAATATATAAGTTTATTCGACGTCAATCTTGTTTAATACATTTTATGATGCCAAATAAGCACAGTTTAGTTTAAGTACAATATATTTACATGTTAATTAACATATTACAGCGTGCTCGCAGTTGAGTGCTCACATATTTCACGTACACTAGTTTAATTGAGCAGCATACTAGGAATAATGGCGTGGTTTAAATTTAAAGTACGATTATTTCACAACATGGATAACGTGCACATTCACTTGGATTCCAGCGCTGGTGTTGCGCGTGTGTGACACTGAAAATCATCGTTAAGTACTAAGAGTTGGTCAATAATCTATCGTGTGTAGAATTAGCGCTGGATTGTGACGAAATTTCGTGAGCTAACGGGTGTTCCAATCGCGATTAATCGGCACGAACGAGTTTCAGATATAATATTTAAAAAGAATTTAACGAAAAGAATGTGAACTTTAATGTACTCTTTCCTGCGACAGCTGAGGTCCAAAAATGTGTGGAATTCAGGGGAGCTGTGACATGAGCGCTGAACTCGAGTGTAACTATGGAAACTAGTAGTGTAACTATGGTAACTAGTAGTGTAACTCGAGCTATAGGAGAGATAGTAATGGTTTCATCGTTATAAACTGAATAGTTTTAGCCTCCAGCGACCACTTTTAGCCCGACCTTAGTGTCGGTATGCTTAGTGCTTACTCACTGCACTACTATATTTTAGGGTGACTAACTTTGATAAATACTTTTGCCGCGTGGAGTTCAACTTTAATTATAATAAGTTTTCATCGAGACTATGGGAAGGGTTGTGACCCAAAATATACGCAGGAGAAAATTTGGATGTTTTTCGCAGCTTAAAAAAGAATAATTTAAGAATGTATTCTCCATTCCATCATAAATAATATTCCAATCCGGATTTTACATATTCTCCGTTCATTACATTGCATCATCTCCAAGGGGAGAATCATTTCTCCATACATCTTGAGTTTCATCGCTTCAATTTAAAGCAACGCTGGCATTTAATCTGACATCATGATACTTAAATGATGATTGGATTAGATGTTTGTTGTTCTTACCATGTATACCATTTTACATTGCATTTTCACGCATACCATGTACAAAATATAGTCTCGACAATAAAATATATCTAAAATTTGCGCCAGAAATAATCGTGATGCTGTTACACATTAACGTCAACACGGTCTATTTAGTTATTTCCTACCAATTGAGATGTAATTGTTGGGCCATCAACGTGCATTACTGGGATTACTGACTCGAACTCTATTTCGAATTTATTATATTATAGACCCAGAGCTGCAGTTGCCCTGTGACGAGCTTTGCACCAAATAATTTGTCCAATAATGGTGTTGAAAGAATTGAATTATGTAAAACGAAACTATGTGTAAAACTATGATTTGAACACCTACAAAAATGTTTACAAATTAGGAATTCTGCAAACGATAACTTATTAAACTCGGAGAGGCTATAATCACGTCCGGAAATAAATGTTCATGTAACAAAATATATCCCATTTAATTTATAGCATTATGATCGTGCGTCGCAGTATGCCTACTTAATCCAAAGTTTCGTTTGTCGACAAAAGCCAAAACAAAATAAATAACCTTATTAAAGATTCTTAAAAATCGAAGAAAAAGTTCAAATTCGAATTAGGAAATTCGAATCAATTGAACTTTTTAAATATCATCAGATTGTTACTAGTAAACACAAGGAAATATCTTCCCAGGAATTGGACACACTCTGCAACTGGTGTCCGCAATGATAACGGACCACAAGATCATGTTTATCAGCAGCAACTACAGTACCCTCTTATCTGCTGCCAGCGCCGCTCTTAGCCTTATATACCCACTTACCGTCAGGTAATTATCTAATTAGTTTAATTAGCGTTAATTATTTAACTAATCATAATTAAATAATCTTTAAGTATTATATGACCACTAGCCGTCTTAATACTACACTGGGACGACTTTTCAAAGAGTACTATAAAAATCTTAATACTTATTCTTTGAATAAACAATTCTACTGAACATAACAAAAGTTATGTGAATGATTTTTTGTCAGTTCTATAATTATATTATTATTATAACCACTTTTTAAAATACATTATGATACGGATTTTATGAACATGTATCAATACAGTGCTGTATAATTATTTAAATATTATTTATTAATTAACTAACGGTCCCTCCCTCCGCAGGCATTACGTGTTCGTACCAGTGTTACCTAACTGTTTACTAGCGGTTGTGGGTAGCCCCACCCCTTACGTTACTGGTATTCACGTATCTAGCCACAACTTCATACTTCAGGAGGGTTTTGTGGTAAGTTTAAAGTAAAATAAAGCAAGTTCAAGTAACTTAGTATTTAGTAACATGTTGAACGTTGGTGCCCATTTTTGACACCGCTTCTTTAGTCGCGTTATTTCTTTAGTTGCACCATTTTTAGTGGAGCTGTTTCCCTTAATATGGCACTTTTTCTGCAGTGACGCCAATGTTTTAGTGACATTTTTTGTTTATTTCGTTATTTGACTTCGTTAGATGGAGAAGTACAACTTGATCACGTTCCCTCCATTAGTCTTGAAAGCTGTCAGAGTAGCTGAGAGTCTCGACTTTTGAATTTTAATTATGCACATAATATTGGTGCTTAATTATGTACATAATATTGGTGCTTAACACGCCCCTTCAAAGCATTCTGGACCGTCTGGTTGGCCCTGAGTTTCGTCTTCTGTTTCTTCAATGGGTTCTCTGTCAACAAGGCAAAAGAGAACAACCCATGTAATAACTCTGTGACTCTGAACTACTTTTAGATTGAACACAAAACACTACATTGATATGTAAACATATCCTGCAGCTTTACAAGTTTTAAACTATATCGCTCTCTGTACAGCTAATGCCACGGCTTTTGGTCGGTTCTCAAGAACTGTAGTCTGACTAGATGTAGACAAGAAAGTGGCAGTTTCCACTAGAAGTCTACAAATCGTCTATACTAGGAGCTAGGAATATCACACGCGTCTCACAGCTAAAGCACATGAGCAGCGGGATATAAAATACTCTGAGCTGAGTAATGAGGGAGGCCCTGAAATTGTCAAATACCATGGGACCCCCATGGTGTGTGACAATTTCAGGACCTCCCTCATTACTCAGGGTACACTACACACCATGGCCCTTAATTTGCTTTTTGCTAGCCTGTCACATGACCAATCTAGTTGCTTGTCACGTGTCCTCCAGTCTAGTTTGGCCCACAAAGCTGAGATGTGCGACCACCACCTTTCTGGCTGATAGATATTATAGTTAATAGTAATAATATTAATTAATATTATAATTCTGCAATAATTTTAATACTTGCTATGATATTAACGTGTCCAGGGCCAGACAGTGATAGTGGATATTGACAGTGGAACGTTGAAAATACCACAAGATATAGAACTGGAGATCCCAGAACTTCCTGTTTCGTTCAGGAAATACCTGACGCAATGTTTGAAGGTTTGATTTAAGTTTTACCCAATGGAAGATAGCTTAAATGTTTAAATATTGCCGAATTTTAAATGTTAATAAACGTTGCTGCTTTGAGGCAGCTAATGGTGATTTAAACTGTTCAGTCAAATTTGTAAGAATTTGTTCTTTTCAACATTGATTTGATAGTTTTCTAAAATATCCCCCCTCCTAGTTGATACTGGACCCGAAGTACCTGCTGAGTGATCTGGCGTTTGCTCCTACTCCTCGAACTATATCCCCTCCAAATGTACAGGACAAAGAAATCAGGGCTGTAAGTAGACAATTAACTAATTAATGATTCATTTGCTGGTCAATTAGCGGGAATTTTATTGGTTCCTGTCCGGTATTTTCTGTCAATCAAGATTTAATATGATTACCCACTTGCAATTTTTAAGGGTTCTCAATTACCTAATTCAATGTTCGCCAATGATTGAATGATGAATAATAAATTCCTCTACCGCATATTTCGACAAATAATACCGCAGTTATTATAGTCCGTTTACCATCAGCCGTAAAAATGCCAAATTATCCGTGAGCTCCTTGTATTGTCGCACTTTTATTCGCAAACGTTAGTGATAAAATATATTATATATTATCAGTACTCCTCAATTTCCATCCTTGAAATAAGACCGATTCCATTGGAGTATAAAAGCAATGTATTGCAGCTGTAAAGAAAGCTCGATATATATTATGTAAGGGAGAGCTGAGCTGAATCGAGTATCGCCGGACCTAGTTTTAAAAATGTAAGTTCTTGTATCGAGCAAAATCTCGCTCGATACAGATTTGTGACAGTTAAGGAAGCCAGAGAAAAGAGAGAAAGTTTGAGCTACAAGCCAAGTTAGCACGGTCCGATATTATATGATATATATTGCTGGAGAGGAAGCTGTGTAATACAATGACGAGGGGAGTCTTCTAATTAGCTAACTAATTAGCTAACTATAATATAATCAGCCTTTAATTGGTCTGAAGGGAGAGTGTGGTGTATAATACCTTGTGCTCACACTTTACAGGGATGTATTGATAGATGTTACGTGTAGTTTGTGCTGTGATGATAAGCTGTAAGAGATCATGTAACACTACCTAATAAAGCTGTATGAGAGACTTGTCACGGGAGAGAGCGAGTTGTAACGCACACAAGTTGTGAAAAGTGGACGGGGGAAGTGAGGTTGTAATGTTGTCCAGTCCAGGGTAGGTGAGGTTTTAATGTTGTCCAGCCCAGGGAAAGTGAGGTTGTAGTGTTGTCTAGCCCAGGGGAGGTGAGGTTGTAGTGATGTCCAGCCCAGGGGAGGTGAGGTTGTAGTGTTGTCCAGCCCAGGGGAGGTGAGGTTGTAGTGTTGTCCAGCCCAGGGGAAGTGAGGTTGTAGTGTTGTCCAGGCCAGGGGAGGTGAGGTTGTAGTGTTGTCCAGCCCAGGGGAGGTGAGGTTGTAGTGTTGTCCAGCCCAGGGTAGGTGAGGTTTTAATGTTGTCCAGCCCAGGGAAAGTGAGGTTGTAGTGTTGTCCAGGCCAGGGGAGGTGAGGTTGTAGTGTTGTCCAGGCCAGGGGAGGTGAGGTTGTACTTTGTAGTGTTGTCCAGCCCAGGGGAGGTGAGGTTGTAGTGTTGTCCAGCCCAGGGGAGGTGAGGTTGTAGTGTTGTCCAGGCCAGGGGAAGTGAGGTTGTAGTGTTGTCCAGCCCAGGGGAGGTGAGGTTGTAGTGTTGTCCAGCCCAGGGGAGGTGAGGTTGTAGTGTTGTCTAGCCCAGGGGAGGTGAGGTTGTAGTGTTGTCCAACTCAGGAGAGGTGAGGTTGTAGTGTTGTCCAACTCAGGAGAGGTGAGGTTGTAGTGTTGTCCAGTCCAGGGTAGGTGAGGTTTTAATGTTGTCCAGCCCAGGGAAAGTGAGGTTGTAGTGTTGTCCAGGCCAGAAGAGGTGAGGTTGTAGTGTTGTCCAGCCCAGGGAAAGTGAGGTTGTAGTGTTGTGCAGCCCAGGTAAAGTGAAGTTTTAGTGTTGTCCAGCCCAGCCCCCAGGGGAGGTGAGGTTGTACTAGTGTTGTCCAGCCCAGGGGAGGTGAAGTTATAGTGTTGTCCAGCCCAGGGGAGTCGAAGTTGTAGTGTTGTCCAGCCCAGGGGAGGTGAGGTTGTAGTGTTGTCCAGCCCAGGAAAAGTGAGGTTGACGTGTTGTCCAGCCCAGGGGAGGTGAGGTTGTAGTGTTGTCCAACTCAGGAGAGGTGAGGTTGTAGTGTTGTCCAGCCCAAGGGAGGTGAGGTTGTAGTGTTGTCCAGCCTAGGGAAAGTGAGGTTGTAGTGTTGTTCAGCCCAGGGGAGGTGAGGTTGTAGTGTTGTCCAGTCCAGGGGAGGTGAGGTTGTAGTGTTGTCCAGCCCAGGGGAGGTGAGTTTGTAGTGTTGTCCAGATCACGGGAGGTGAGGTTATAGTGTTGTCCAGTCCAGGGGAGGTTGTCCAGCCCAGGGGAGGTGAGGTTGTAGTGTTGTCCAGCCCAGAGGAGGTGAGGTTGTAGTGTTGTCCACTGTCCAGCCCAGGGGAGGCGAGGTTGTACTTTGTAGTGTTGTCCAGCCCAGGGGAGGTGAGGTTGTAGTGTTGTCCAGCCCAGGGGAGGTGAGGTTGTACTTTGTAGTGTTGTCCAGCCCAGGGGAGGTGAGGTTGTAGTGTTGTCCAGCCCAGGGGAGGTGAGGTTGTACTTTGTAGTGTTGTCCAGCTCAGGGGAGATGAGGTTGTAGTGTTGTCCAGCCCAGGGGAGGTGAGGTTGTACTTTGTAGTGTTGTCCAGCCCAGGGGAGGTGAGGTTGTAGTGTTGTCCAGCCCAGGGGAGGTGAGGTTGTACTTTGTAGTGTTGTCCAGGCCAGGGCCAGGGGAGTTGAGGTTGTACTTTGTAGTGTTGTCCAGGCCAGGGAAAGTGAGATTGTATGGGTTGTTTGGGCTGCTACACAGTTTGGAACTCGTACAAGTTCCCACAGTTTACTACTCCGTACCATTTTGTACTTACCGTGTAGTTGTAGGTCTGTGTGTGTGTGTGTGTGTGTGTGTGTGTGTGTGTTCTGGATGTATGGAATACTTGGACTCAGTTTGGAATAGTGCCCAGAAGAAGAGATTTTTTAGGCATAAACTCTGTTGTTTCACCACTAAATTAAGTTATTAAAAAAAAGAAGTTAATGTGTGTAATAAAAACTAGAGCTCCCTGACCTATGGATTGACTAGGTCCTGTGAACTGTCAAATTTTAGGGGCTTTACTGCTCTGACCTTGGAATTTTAGACCAGATATGAATCGAATTTTAACACTTTAGTAATCTCTAACTCACACTTATATGTGTGCTTAAATCCGGACTAACCTCAAACCTTAAAACAAAATTCTAACTCATGCGCTGCTTAATTAATACGAACTTTAAATTTGGACCTTAAACTCTATTAGGTCAGACACTCATTTAAATTCTCCACAATTTTAACTTGACACTTAACATGATTACTCTCCTGAGCATACATAGGGCTCATTATCAAGAGATGGATTCATAAGAATACGTCTTACTTTAAATATTATGTTACTTTATGCTTTTTATCTTTTTATGAACATAGTTTGTCAGGATGTTGAAAAGAAACGTGACCTATACAAAATGTTAAATTATATATATTATTATATAGAAATTATCTGCACTGAATGATGTGAAAATGGACTTGAAAACGCATGGAAATAAACTGAAGAATCGTTGATAAATCAACTGTAAAACATTAAATAATTGTTAATATAAATGTACTTAAATTATAATGTCAAATAATTTGCTTCAGACACATGACAGGGGCCCTGGTCATCTTGTCACAGTAATCACATGGAGAAACCCCCAGAGAACTAATAATAACTAAAACTGATGTGGCAAAAATCTTTTAAAATTCAGCGACAGCCCTAGCCGCGAAGGTAAAATTCACTTTTTGAACTTATTTTCACTTATGACTTAAATTAAACGTCAAATAACAGGATATTTTCACTTTTTCAGGTGTTCATGCAGTTCTTCTCGTGGATGTTAGCACAGTATAGGTGTTGTCTTGTCGTAGTGAGGTCCCATCCTAAACCAGTTATAGTGTTCAACGACAAGCGTTTCCTCGAGATCAGATCTTTCCAGGTACGTTGAAGAAACATTAGATACTTCTTATCTTCGGTAGATATTATCTTACTTGGATATTTTCTTGCTTAAATATAATGTAGCTACCATTTTATTCATCATTGATCACATAGATCTAAGTTATTCCCATTTTGTTTTCAACTCAAAATCACCGTAACTTCATTTGGTCATAATTATCACGACATATTGAGATCATACTTATCTGAAGTTTTAATTAGTTTCCTCTGAATTCTGACTAATTATATTAATGAATCCTCTAGTTCAGTCAAATCATGTCCAGGAGTTTTGGACTATCAGATCAGTTTACTCCCTTTTTGTTTGCGGTTTGTTTTTACGTTATCCATTTGACAAGATCGAGCAAGTTTTAAAATGTTCCTTAAATCAAGGAGTCGAGGAGTAAAATCGTGGTTGTTCCTATTTTGTGGTCGCATAACCTATCAGTCTATATTATTTTTATACCGTTGGCGCCTTCTCTACGCTATTTTGTTTCATTTTCCCGACCCATAATCAAGTTTTCCCATTTTTCTATTCTTCAAACAAAAAATCAGGGCAGAATGTTCCCAACCAAAATCGGACTAAATTCCAATATTTATCTTTAAACTCAAACGATGAGTTTATAGTTTGTCGGTGCCTCTATTCGTCATTATGATTTCCCCGCTGTTTCAGACTCCCGACCAATATTCCAACAACAACCAGACATTGCCAACTATAAAATATTTACCACTCTCCAATGGATATCAATACTTCATGTCTCGCTTCCTTGTTATCATACCAGCTCAAATAACCTACTACATCCGTACATGGCCAAAAATGTATAATCATTGCCCATACATGGTCACAATCATGTAATCCAATGCCCAGCTGTTCAAGTGTAAATTTTCTGCCGATGGAATTCGATTATCTCATCATATAATGAGGCTAATTATCAATTACCAGTATATAATAACAATACCGGCTATTACCAGTTTATACTGGCTATCTTAAATGTACATCTGGTTAGGTGGGTGTTATCTTACAATACTACTAGTACTAGTTACTACCCGTCGAGATGTGCCCTTGTAATCAAATATACATTTCATAAAGGGAACAGAATCTAAATGAATTGCAGTTTTGACACACTGTTCGAACTGAAGCCTGACTTCTAGTTTCTACTGCATGATTTAATGATAACTCATCTGGTCTGGAGGGAGAGTTGTTAGGTTATCCCGGGTGATTTAAGTGTAATTTAACCGTGATATTACATGTTTACATGTTTAGCAATGGGGTAATGGGTATTTTAAAAGTTTGGGTTATGTAATGGGAATGAATATTTTATTATAAGTCAAGTTATGTAACGCATTCCTCGTTTCCGCTACGTTAGCAATGGCTGCTTTGCTTGTGTACCTTTACAGAGTACATACCTAGTACATTCCGAGTACAAACCGAGTACATACCTAGTACATTCCGAGTACATACCTATTCCTAACGCATACCTAGTGCATACCTAGTGCATACCTAGTGCATACCCAGTACATACCTAGTGCATACCCAGTACATACCTAGTACATACCTATTCCTAAGGCATACCTAGTGCATACCTAGTGCATACCTAGTGCATACCCAGTACATTCCGAGTACATACCTATTCCTAAGGCATACCTAGTGCATACCTAGTATTTACCTAGTACATACCTAGTGCATACCTATTCCTAAGGCATACCTAGTGCATACCCAGTACATACTATACCTAGTGCATACCCAGTACATACCTAGTACATACCTAGTGCATACCCAGTACATACCTAGTACATACCAAGTTACGGACAGTCCTACGCGACTATTGGAGAGTGTGTCTAAACAGTAATACCATGTTGAGTATAATATTAAATGTAAAGCGTCGAACCAATCGTGTTCTTATCACAATATTTACCACAAGACTTCTACAAAATACACACACCGTTTACATTTCAGTATGCGGTGTTATACTACCTGTCAGATTATATAGTGTGATAAAGCGTAAACTTAACAAATACTGTTACAATCTAACAATTTAAGTTTTAACTAAATTATTATCGAATAGTGATTACTAAAAGTTAACACATTACATACATATTTTACCTGTTATATTATGTATTATTCGAAGTATCCAGTGTTATTTTGGTCTTTATAACCTAAGTTTTAAAGTTTTAAAACTATTTGGTTACCCAGAACAACGCACGCGCTTTATCATGCACTATGTGTTTCGGTAAGCAATAGAAAATATAACATTACATTTTAACCAATACAATGTTATTAACTGTACGATCGGAATATGAATACGGTCTATACTATTTTAAACATGGTCCCGCGAAAATATTTTAAATAAAATGGTGGCAGATCGAAAAATTTAACAAATTTAAATACATTATTAATTAATAAAACATTTTCCCTACCTAGTATTCAGAACATGTGTATATTGAAGTTGGATTTACATTTTATTAGTGTATACTGTATAGTATATACGTATGATTATTATGCCCATAATTAATTCTGAACTGATATAAAAGTGCATAATTTTGATTTTATAAATTTATAATATATATTAGTCTCGCTCGAATGACTTAACTGTAAATCTTCTTTGGGTATATTTTAATGTCATGTAATAAAAGAATTTATTTATTTTAATATTTATGTAATGGTGATTGGTGGAGTATACATTTACTGGTTGCTAAGCAATTAAGCGATCTCACATTAACCTTCTCATATCCTCTACACAACTCATTACCTTACACTGTCGTGTGCAGACTAGGCTCTTAGTACATTAGATCTCAATAATTACATTTTATTTAATTACATATCTAATTACATTTTATTACATCTCTAATTATTGTGACATACCCCTCCTCCTTCTCTTCGCTGAATACCTCAAATGTTTGGAATGTACACTGACTGTTTCATAATTTCATAAGAAAAACTTAGTATTTCTACTCTCTGTTACGTTATAATCACGTACTCATGGAAAGGTGTGTAACTTCTGTATTAGAGGTGAGTAGAGGCCAATAGGATGATAAAATATGTTTCTTTAACTGACCACTAGTGCAGTAGTTGATATAAACCAAGTCACCTTCAAATGTTATGTAAATACATTAAATAGATTGGAATGTTATCAAACAAACTTCACAGGGATTAGAAATAATGCTTTATCGTTGTTGTACTGTTGTATGACTGAAACACATTTTAATATGCTGAACATACAACATAAATACTTGCTGTGACGTCACTATCCACTTAGCTTACTTTTAACATGTTATTAGTTGTTCAATCTAGGTCTAATGTATGTTGTGTGAAAAGGAAACAAGTAAATAATGAGTCTAAAATACTTCCCAATTTTAACTAATTTTAGATCGGTTTTAAGGGTGATGATAATATCTCAGTCGTGGGTAGAAAAAACCTTAACCTGGTAACCTTGTAGCCTGCACAGTGGCAATTCTAACTGCACATCAACATTTTTTGTGAACAAACTGATATGAATCCTATCTGCACAGAAAGACAGAATGTTATGTTGTCTGTACATTAAACTCCAGGCATGATCTCAGTTCTCTGAGCTGGGAATGCCGAATGATAATATATTAGTGTTATAAAAGTAAGTTAAAAGAAAGATATCTGAGTGACACTAAGCTATACTAAGTGACCTACCTACCCTACCTATGGGAAGCACCTCAACACAGTGCACATTACACATCACACTTGAACTCTGTGCTCATCTTTCTCATGACCTAATATAGCGTTGTACTAAGTTATGAAAAACAAATCACACTCGAAAGGGTAAGTAGAGTACTGTTACACGTCTCTACACTTAGGGAAATATTACTTTGGATATTTTCATCGCCTATCTTTGACTTGTGAATGTATTCACTATTCATCCAGTATTGTTGACCTATGATCATTTTATGAGATGATAATTTTATTTACTTCCCTTAGTTGATAACAAATCACGCCAATTATTATAAATCAAGAGGCTTGCATATAATGAACATATTGACACGGTTGCAGAGTTGAGTCTGTACGGAACCTAGTAGTTTCAGATCCTTGTTTAACTTGCCGTACAGCAAGGTCATCCACTACTTTAGCCCGGCGAGTCACATAACTCCCTCCACAACTCCATATCAAATGTTTCATATATACTAGCCGAGTTCACAAGTTATATCCTTGTGTTTGAGAAGAGCTCGTTAGAACTGCTTCCTTTCCCTTCAGTATCCCACAGTCTCTCGAGTTTCGTAACTGCCAGAGAACTCTCTTAAACAATTACTAGACTCGGTGATTATAAATCAAGAGGCTTGCATATAATGAACATATTGACACGGTTGCAGAGCTGAGTCTGTACGGAACCTAGTAGTTTCAGATCCTTGTTTAACTTGCCGTACAGCAAGGTCATCCACTACTTTAGCCCGGCGAGGCACATAACTCCCTCCACAACTCCATATCAAATGTTTCATATATACTAGTTATGGCAACTTCAGTCCCTAAAATTACTAATTGTACCGATTTTACAAGATAACTAGTATTTAGCTATTTTATCAAGTTATATGTTACGTGATCAGTAGAGATCAAGTTATCATTCCCGCTTACTGGGGGCAGTACTGTGTAGCAGGTGATGGGATGTACTTAAGGGATGTACTTCATAAAATATGTAGTAACTAGAAAATTAAGAGATTACTTGAAACAGAGAGACGTAGACACAGATCTTGTATGTAAATTCTTAATCGTTCAAATGTTACTACTAAGTAATACTTTCATCTAGTAATATGACCTGAGGTACAGTAGGTATAAACGTTTAATTATCTGTTTTGACTTTTGGCCAGATCATACTCTGTCTAGAACGGAACTTAACATTTGTATACAATTCAACAGTCCATGAGGCACCTACATGGGGTTCTGAGGTGGACTTTCGTGAGGCGATGAGGTAGCCATTATATGAGACCTTGCCAAGACATCCAGGTTTTAGAGTATTGGCACACCCTTTTGTTGAAATTCAAAAGTGC